ATAAAAAAGAGCAGGCAATACGTGCAGCTTATCAAACTACTCCTCGTTAGATAACGCCATCTCCTTATTGTACATACAGCCCGTGGCATGGTCCTGAATCAGTCTGTTGCCAATTAATTGAAAACCATCCATCCATCGTCAACTAGTACAGGGTCGCGGGGGGCTGGAGCCAATCCCAGCTGACATCGGGCGAAAGGCGGGGTACACCCTGGACAGGTCACCAGTCCATCACAGGGCCACAGATAGACAAACAACCACTCACACTCACATTCACACCTAAGGACAATTTTAGAGTCACCAATTAACCTAGCCTGCATGTCTTTGGATGGTGGGAGGAAGCCGGAGCACCCGGAGAACATGCAAACTCCACACAGAAAGGCCGTGGCAACAGGGGGTTTGAACCAACAACCTTCTTGCTGTGAGGCGACAGTGCTAACAGCGCTGCACCACCGCGTTGCCTGAAAACCATACAATTGTCTGATAATATGATTCAGTGGAAGTACACAAAATGCCCGATAACAAAACAATGTCCCACAGCTTGCATCAAGGCAAATGACCATTATGCACTCCAGAAGCCTAAATACAAGGATGTAGTGAAATCGCATTCAGCAAGTGTTAGAAGGTGACATTTTAGGAGCAGCTTCTCTCCAGTGGGGCACTTTCCCCTACTTCAAAAGGATACAAAGTTTTCAATACTATGGATTCAAGCTTGGGTTCAAATAAGCCTACTGTGGAATAAGCGTGTTGGAACTAACTTATAATAAGTGCAAGCTGCATTGAATGGACAACAATCTGAGGCGGCGCGGTACATTCTACAAAACGCAAACAAATGCAAAATGGAGCCCTTGCTTTTTGTGCAAAGTCCACAGCAGTCCAAAGATATGCTGCCAGTGCAACATGAAAGTCTTACTGATGCAGTCAAAGTGGTGAGTTACATTAAAACTGAGCCCAGAGAACAGCATGTGTCGCAGGGACCATGACATTCTTTGGCACCACAGGCCACATGAGGCATTAGCAACCGGAATCAGATAAATCAAGAGTGTATCTTACAAAGTTAGATTTTTTAGTACAACATCCCCTCTTGTTTCCACACACTGGGTTTCCTTACAGAGTTGTGGTGGAGGGCCAGAAACACAAGGAGGGAATTTTGTACTAAAAGCAAACACAGTGGCATGTGACACAGGTTAAAACACCCACACCCACTGTTTTCTAAGTAGGCCCAAATATCTGCAATGTTTGGATGTGTCATTGTGGGGTTACTAAATCCACTTCTGAGAAGTTTTGAGGTGAGAAATCAACTATGTAGATTTAGAATATTGACAGTTTTATGAAAAGAGTTGGCGGAACAAAAATGTGTTTTCGGAGTTGAGGAGCTCCGCAAGTGGCGGCGGGGGAAGCCTGCACCAACCCACAGGAGGAGCACCCGAGGCCGGCCAGCCGGCCGCTCACAAAGCCCTCTGCTCCCACCGTCACACAGACCGCTGCAGCAACAACGGCAGAGGAAAACACAGCTGGAAGGTTTTCATACCACTCATCGGTCTTTACATTCTGAGTAATGTTCAAACATTTTAACTTAAATCAAGAGAAAGCTGTGTGGGTCACTGGTGTATGTGTCGCATTGAACATTACGTCAAGGCAGTTGTGTGTGGCATCGCTATGACAACCAGCTACATTGAGGGGTACTATCTGCAATGGAAAACGGAGCACAGTCGAGCATAGTTGAGTTGAGTTGGTACTGGTAATGGAAAAGCGCCATTTGTACTCTTTACGTATGACGCATCCAGTGTGTGCTACGTGCGTAATTCATAGTTTTCACATGACGTCACATTCCAATGAAAACACTCCCTTGGAGGGCAAAAAATATGTTATTTTCCGCTGCCTGACAACCAATAAGCAAGTGATACGCTGTTGATGGAAATGCTATATGGTTGTGCTTTCGGATGCACTAATTGAGGGGGAGACAAGCCTGGGCTGTGTTAGGTGAGGGATTCCCCACAAGGTAAACGTAAACATACCGCAGTCGAGCAGCGGAACTGTCGGTTTTAAATGGTAGAAATGTGGCCGTGGATGCTGTAACCTTATATGGATAGGATATGCCCAACACTTGCAGTTTGTGTTCACGTGTGTCTTTTTCTTAAGTTGAAAGGTGATCCAAATAAAAGTTGACTGCTTTTGCGGCGACTCTACGTGGGAGTTGCGGTGTGAGCCGCTATGAGGGTCTGTTGTTTTGCCCTCCTGGTCACCGCGCATGTCACGTGACTGAAAGCTATGAATAGAATAGGGATGCATCACAACCGTAGCTTATCCCACAGCAAGTGAACAAGTGCTTCTGTTGTGATGATGCCCTTTGAGCGACAGAATTGCTGCAGGCAAATAGAGTTAAATGGGGCAACATTTTGCGATTTAGATGAAAGTAGCGGAAACACTGGCTGCCAACTTGAATACTGCACTCGATCAATCAATTACACTATTATTTCAGTCCATGCACATAAATCTTTATGGTATTGTCTTCACAATGCCTTTTTACAGGGCCCAATTTCAAAACCTAAAAAGGCAAGTTAATTTGAGCAAAACAAAAACAAATAAAAATGCAATCTTTACTTGTCTTAGCCATATTTTGTAGTTGAAGGTGCAGCTGAAAACGAGCTGACAAGGGCTTCAGCGCACGACACAGTAGCTGAGTGGGCATGGTGATCACTGGTTGCCACTGTGGCAGCGCTTCCTGCTTCCAGTTAAAAGTGGCACTAGCATCATACAATTAACTCGTCTCCCTCCCTTTTATTGAGTGACGTCTGCACCTGCGCCTTTCGTGGATTGACATCAGCAGCGCTGGACTGCTCGGATTTGACAGGAGTGGCACAGGGAGCAGCGAAAAGAGTGCCTGTGACACCCTGCAGTGGTGAGCAACATACTCCACAGCAAACAGAATAATGCAGAAAAGTCATGAAGAATGCTTCTTTCTGATTTGACAATTTACAGGATTTCTTACATGTAAACTATGTTTACCTGGTGTACCACAAAGGCAAAAGCTAATATAGTCCTGCAGAAAATATGGTCCCTCACTAAGACGATCTCCTGGGTAGACACAGAAGAGGATCTACACTAGGACTGAAGCATGTCAGTTAGCACACAATGTGTCATGGCCTTTTTTTGATACCAGCTGCTAACCAACTCCACCTCCACTGTTAGAATGCTACAGAGTAAGCAAGACCAGCATGGGGACTGGCCGCAGAGTATACGGGGGGACGGGCCTGAATGAAACTGAAGCAAAGCCAATGATACACTGGAAAAACAAGTTCGCATAGCTCTTTGCACAAAAGAATAGATTATGTGACCAAAGGCCTACAGCGGATAAAAATATCTTCACAGATTCATCTTAATTCTATGGTAATGTGAAAAACACCACAAATACACAGATCAGAAATAAGGATATTGACAGTTAAGATTTACCAGCCCACAAACAACATATCTGTAGTAGTGTCACTGTCACAAAATCAGAGCTGGTTAGTCAGTGTTGGGTGTGGGGCCACAAATTTCTTACTGGCCACCAGCACCACTTGAACCAGCAATTATAGCTGATATTATAGCCATGATATACACCACTTTGTGTTTCGTTTATCAAACTATAGTGAATAACAAAGCCTTTAAACTGTCTGTGTACTCTTGCATGCGATAGGCTAGCGGTGCAGGTGTCTTTTTTTGCAAAGAGCAAAAATGCAAAATACAACTTCCTAGTTGGCTACAATGAAAATTAACCACAAACAACACAGCTAATGTAACATAGCCTGACATCTGCCAAAGCCAGGCAAATCAGTCCACACATAGATTACCCGCTAAATGGTCACTTTCGATTACAACTTAATGGTGTCACTATCACTATCAAATATGTTTTTTCTAACAAAGAAGTTCAGCCCCTGTCACAGGTTGGTTTCTCCTTCACTACTTTTCATTGGTCTCTTTCTTTAGAAGTTTTTAATATCATTCAAGTAAGCCAAAACATGACAATGATTTTTCTGAGCAAATGGGTATCAATCTACTACTACACTTGCAAGTACAATTCTATAAAATTTGGCAGACGTGTTACACTTGATTTTTATGAGGGAGTCCATATGCACAGGAAAAAAAAGGTTTAGCCTGCCTTATGTCACCTTTTCACAGACAGGGGGATAAGAAGAGAATCACTCACTGTTTGGCTGAAGCTACTGGAGTAGAGACTATCCAAAAATGGCTGTGGGACTTTTGCAGTCTCTTGCAGCATGTTGTTCTCTGAATTTAGACCTCTTGGTCACAGGTGGATATACTAATATACTTAAGTCACAGAAATTCGCCAGAGAACTATGGACTAGTGAAGTGACAACAGAGATGCATCATCCAGGAAAATGGAACTGTTCATGTTATTTGGGGCCAGATCATTGTATTTATTTACTTAGACAGTGACAACTTTGTTCACTTGTTTCAGAGCTTACTGTGCATTTCATAAACCATTTGAAGCTGTTAAACCACACATCTGCAGAGCTGCCCCAAGCCGGGTCCTTATGAAAGATGACCTACTGGTGTAAATAACAGTTCCAAAACTTTTTTGTAAACTCGTGTTTTGTTCTCAACTGTCATTTTGGACAGAAATTAGCATTTTAAATAATCCCACGTTTTAGTTTAGGTAATAATGGGAAACGGCGATGTGGGACCACCTGGAAGCTGTGTGTTGCTCTTGTCTTGATTATGTTATTATAAGATGCTGTACTTTTTGCCAGCATGGTGGGAGGAGAGCAGAACAAAAGGGCACGGTAGGATGCCATCAGCTCAAGGTAAATATGCACCGCAGCGTTGCGGTTTGAGACTAATCGCGTGTTTTACATAATTTTACACGGACGTTGGTTGATGTTCTGGGTGAAGCTAACGTTAGCTAGCTAGCTTCCCCAGGGATTAGCACAATGCTAGCAAGCACGGATACCCGACAGCTAATGGCTTCTCTGCAGCTGGTCTTAAGCAGGACCCCTTACCTGATCAGTACTCCGTGTTGCTCTTGCGTGCTTCGCCGGTAGATTTCCTTTGTGGCTTATCGGCTAACGTTACATTGTCATGTGTTGTAATAATCACGTAACAGACCTCGTTCAAAGGCATTAACGTTAGCTGTCTTTGCCAATATGCGAAGAAGGCAATTGTCCTTCTTGCCGATGGCTTCCGTGTTTCCTGATCAGTACAGCCTGGAGATCTTTTTTCCTTTATGGACTGTGAGTAGATCGGGGTCGTTCACTCGTCAAACCCTTGTGTTATTCCCACACGACGTGGGCTACACTGCTTGATGTGCTCTGAACACCAGCGCCGGATCCAGATCGGCATCCATTATCTTTACTTGCGCATTTTCAGACAATGTGCCTGAAATTGTTCGTACGTTATACAACTGTCTGATGATAACCAATAACAAGGTGCGGGGACTCTGAGAGAGCCCGCCCCTCCACGTTCTATGGCTGTTACGACCAGAGACTGGCGGGGCGGTAGCACGGTGTCTCTTTCCGGTCGACTGCACCAGGGTTGCTCCTTACTGCTGCAGCTGCTCCTGCACTACGTGCTGTGGCAGACAGGCAGTTTCATGTGCTGATAGTAACGGGGCAGATCATTGAAGTCCTCAGTAAACCTTAAGTGCTCCCATGTGCAGTTTCAGTACCACTCCGTTGATGTTGCATGAGTGTGAGTTACTGGGGAACTCAATCTGGCATGTCTACTTGTCTGCTGGACTAGACGTGGTTGCCCTCGAAAGGGTTAATAAGTTGCACACAACCATTTTGTGAGCAAGACTCTACAAAATGGCGCCACCTCTTCTTGTGCTGGTCTAGACTAAACCTCTTGGGTTGAGGAGGCACAGCAACCAGTTCCCATGGAAAGAAAAAAACACATTGTTCTAGAGATGGGAGAAAAAACTTGATACCTATATTATGATATAAGGTGTAAACAGGATCTTCTGAATATGCCTGATATTCTGTGACCAGACAATTGATTTACTTGTAATTGGTGCATTTATGCACCCATGGGACTTTCTTTGCTTTTACCTCAGAATGTGTAGATCACTGGGTAATTGATCCTAGCTCACTGAATTTATTTAATGGTGCACAACAAAATTGTTCAATTAGGGAACAGCTTTCTGACCAAGTCAGGCTGCATAAACTGGCCACCCTGCGCAGCAACAGAGGTCCACTGATTTCAAAGAACTGGTTAGATAACAGACTCTCTTGTGGGACTCAATTAACTTATTGCAGCTTGCAATTAAAAAACAGAACTAGATCATTTGACACATTGAGCCTGTATCCTAAATATCAGGGTTTAGCTACTCCCTAAATATTTATTTTTTCTTGTATGCAGTTACTGCATACTGTCAAAACCACGCACTTAAGTTGAGATCCATTCAACAAGCTATACACTGAACTTGCATGTAACCGCAAGAAATGGTAGAAACGCCACACTTTCCCCACACCACAGCTCTAGCCTGCTGTCAGTATGCTTGTGGCTCGGATGTTGCAGGTTTAAATCCCCAAACTAGATGCCTAATGTTACGTTGGGATAAAGAAACCCCTGATAGATACCTCAGACCCTGCACCCACCACCACCCTCACACACTTTTATATAATTCTAATGATCCTTACCCCTACAATGCAGTGCTGCCCATGCACTACCTCACACAATAAACAATACAAAAAGAACATTTGCCCTCAACTTTGGCCACACCGATTACTTCCCAGATGTCACCAACAGTACCTGAAAGAAGTGGTCTCTGAAAGGTCAAATGTTAAAAACCAGGGTATGTTTGAAACAAACTTGGTTGCAGGACACGTCATCCAACCACATCCAAGGGCAAAAGTACTTACATCTGTTGTTAACAGCCACACTTCAGTCATCGAGAGGTGCGAGATGCTATAATTGTTCAAATGGAGATTACTGCATGCATTGTCGGACTTTTCTGAAATGCTTTCAGTGATGCTCTTGTTTGTACACACAAAAGGAGATGGAAGTGGTTGTGTGGAAAAGGAAAAAAGAGGGCTTGGGAGAGATGCTTGAATCCTACACTTCTCACCTCTTCACACATGATCGATTGCTGCATAAAGTGGGCATGGTCGGACTGCTGTTTAAGAAAGTTCCAAAAATTGGAAGACAGCCCCACAATTCCAACAGTGGGATATTGTGTGTGTAGGGGAGGGCTCAGATGTTCCGCAACAATCTGAAGCCTCAAGCCCAGAATGTCAAAAATCAGGTTTCCCTAATATTATCCTCTGCAACAATGCATGAGAGATAGAGTGTTATAGATGTCATGTGATCAGCTGTTCATCAGTGATTAGCTGCTATAACAATCTTAGTGTAGTTTGGTTAAGAGCAAGCCCCTGGGAACAGCCTAAAGGCTTGTGCAGACTACATGACTTTCAGCATTGGCCGATGGCCATGCTGTTCACACTACACATTTTCCGTGTTGTGATGGGATCTTGAAGTCATTGTAGCGTTCACACTACGTGACTGACAGGGGGTCACACACTATGCAAGCTGACAGCGGCTGTGTCACCCGACGGTGGTCTCCACACCATGTTTTGTCAAGAAAACACATGAAATGGGAAATGACACAAACCTACACATGAAACAGCTATTGTTTGTTATTATTAAGATAGCAATTTTAAAGACAAAAAATATGGGTGAAAGAATGGATTAGCACATGCAGGTAGCGGGGATTGTCTGAGCAACAGAGAGAGCTGGAATTGAGTAAAAAGTGTTTTGCAGTGAAAAAGCTGCCTGCTGGATGTCAAGTTGGCCGACTCCTCCAGATATTTGGCATGCTAGATATTAAAGTAGTAGTGGTAGACTAGTTCACACAGAACGACTGGTGGCTGCCAACCAATAGCTGATTTACCCCTGATCACCGCCTGACGGTCGCCGAGCTCACCGACCAGCAAATCGGGCTTAAAATTGTGTAGTGCGAACTAGGCTTTAGTGAGCCTTAGCCTTAAGCAGCATTTCCACCAAAAGTCCCTGGATCTCTTCAAGGAACTAAAAAGGTTCCTTCAGCCCATTATTGTATGCATTTCTACCGTGGTCTAAAGACCTGTGAAGATTAGACAAATTAACTAGCTGATGTAGGCCTACAAGCCGTACAAAGCGATGGCCTGGCATCATTATTTAGTAACCACTATCCATGACAAAATTTATAAATGAACATCAGATTTGATTGGAATACAGTGAAAAACTATAGGCTGTGCTTGACCAGTACAGCTCTTTTGTGTGGGAGTATAATGGAGAGACACACAATAAAGTTTGTTACAAATTTAATAACAAACTGGATAAAGCCATCAAGTTCTTAAAATAACTCCAGCATAGAGAATACAAAACAAAAATTAAATCGTGACAGTTGGGAATGGGATTTTTAACGAGCTTTATTACTTGCTGTAATGTTCCGATTGTTTTGAAGAGGAGATCAACTTTGGCTCTGTGTGAAAACTTCCAGACTGACCCAGTATTTAGCATAACTCCATCAGCTGTTCGCTGTAAACACAATGCTGCATGCTGGCTGCTATTTCCGAGCAATAAATTTAATGCCGACGTACGATCTCAGGTGGACATCGGTGAGACTTGTTTGTGCTATCTGACTGTTGATTGTGATTTATTGGTTTGCAAATAAGGGTTGAAAAGAAAGGAGCAGTAGTAGAAAAACACCCAACATGCTTGATTTAAAGCCAATAGCCTCTACTCGCCCATTCAGAAATTCACTGCAAGGCAAGCCCCCCCAGTTCAGTGGTGGGAAGCTGGTGAGGCAGCATGTAGTGTTTGCACACCGAAACCTTTATGAATTAATCAGGCTTAACTTTCATCATCTAATGGCGTTTTTCCATCGCTGGTACCAGCTCATCTCGCCTCGCCTTGCCTTTGGCCCACCGTCCTCCATTTTGTATCAATGTAGCAACGCTGCATGAAACTGCAGTGACGTAATTTTCAACGTGACACCCGCGACCAGATGTCTCTTGATTTAAGTTAAAACATTTCAACATTAATCAGAATGTAAAGACAGAATAGCAGTAAGAAAATCTTACAGATGTGGGCCTCTGCTGTTGTTGCTGGATTTGTCTGCTGTGTTGGCTATAGTGGTCTGTGACTATGTGAGCTGACTGGCTGGCCGGCTTGCTAGCTTCCCCCGCCGGCACTTGCGGAGCTTCTCAACTGCAAAAGCGTTTGTATGTGAAAAAATTTACAAAATAAAACACTTGACTCCGTCTGGCATGCGCAATGATGATGCAGTAAACGGTGACGATTCTTTCTGACCAATCTGTAGTCTGCAGTGTATTCACGTCACTTTTTGGTATTGTCTCAGCTAGACTCAGCTCGCTTGGAACCATGACGGAGATACGAAAAAAAGTACAAAGTAAAACTTTTCCCCAATGGAAAACCAAAAAAGGCGAGTAGAGTCGAAGCCAGTTGAGCTGGCACCATGCGGTGGAAAAGGCCCATAACATTTTGAGAGAGGTATAGAACGGTCTTGGAGAGTTTTTACCATCCAGTAGTAACAAGTGTACTGGAGGAGGAACATTGTCGACACCTACTGTAGTGATCAACCAACTACTTTTATTGATCTGGACTAGGATACTTTAATTGGTTTATGTATACTAGTAAATAAGTTGGGATGCTAGACTATAGTGGTCACTGGTTTAGTCAGGCAGGGACCTTGTGCAGAGGGCAAGTCTCTAAACATGAATAGTAAATTCCTGATCACAGGAAGTTGGGGAAGCTAGAAGGGACCTAATGAACTTGCTAGAGTCCCACTATACTCAGAATGTTATTACCATGAAGAAGTGTCCAATATTATTCTGAATTAGGCCTACATGCCCTCTCTGGGGGCCGTGTGACATAAATTTCGGCATCTGCCTAAGTCTATGAGACTACAAAATTGGATGTCTTGTAGAAGCCTGTGTGCAGCCCCTAAATTTATGACCACACTGACTGCGCAGACACAGTAGCATAGTACTGCCTCCACCCCCCTTCTCTGAGTCTCTTTTGGAGTACATCAGAGCCTTTAGTTAATGTATTGACCCAAACTTTGTCTTATGTGTTACAGTTTTTAGCAGTCACATTTTCACACCCATATTGGCTAGACATTGCGGTGCATCTGAAAAAGACTGGGAGACATCAAAGTATTGAATGTACCAATGTCATTCACAATCTTGTAGAAATGGCAAAATTGGCCATCGTAGACCATGCTAGAGCTAGCAAATGACAAAGCCCAGTAATATAAAAAGCAACCTGGCATCAATGACAGCACACAGAAGACCATGAATAGGGATGCAGGTACCCACTATGTGAGTCTTACTAATCAATTGATTATCAGAAGGCCATAGAAAGGTTAGTGAGTCTGTTTATTTGGTTTGGTAAGGATAGGTTGTCCTGTACTGGGCTTTGGAGTATAAAATGTCCCATGAGATGGAAATGTACTCTTTTTTTGTCCTAGTAGGAATGCTGTGTACATCAGGGAAGGTGTTATAATCTGAGTTTTTCAACCAGTAAGAAAAGGCAATGGTCACAAGACATAAATTACGTCTACGTAGCTGACATATGAT